CACTCACCACCATCCGTCCTGGATGTTGGCCCCCAGCCCCATTGGGGGGCGGGGGGCCAATCCTTAACCCTAGTATGTACATATGTTCATTTCGCCTGTTTTGGGGCTTCGGGACATATTTCGCGGGCGTAAGTCAATCTTTTCTCACTGTACTTTCTCATGGGCACGCACGAGGGTCGTCGGTACATTACCGCGCACGCCCGAGGACGCAACCCACCCTTGGCGCGTGTGCTTGACGCCCAAAGTTGAAAAAACTGGCTCTATACCCCGGGAACGTGTTCCGCGGGAAGAAAGCCTTCCCAAGAAATACAAAAACATTTACTGCTTTCGAAAAAACAGAAGAATTTGAGCACACAAGTTCCACAGAGCATGGGCAGCACCACGGTACTACCGTAATACACAAGAGCAAGTGATCAACGCAGCGGATTACAGCAGCAGCAGGACCTGCATCAAAGACGCCGCTAAAACACACACGAAATATCGTACACACGAACAGCGGTCGCAGCAGCAGAGGAGGACCCTAACCCTAAGATGCCACTAAGGCACACACAAACTAACGTACACGCGAACAGCAACACCGTATGACTACACAAGAGCGAGTGGTCTTACGCAGCGGATTTAAGAGGCAGCAGGACCTGCAACAAAGACGCGGCTAAAACACACACACACACTCACATGCACGCGAACAGCCGTCGCATTTACGCAGCGGATTTAAGAGGCAGCAGGACCTGCAACAAAGACGCGGCTAAAACACACACACACTCACATGCACGCGAACAGCCGTCGCATCAGCATCAGGACGACAGCAGGAGGACTTGCAAGAAAGACGCCGCTGCAGCACACACGAACTCACATACAGGCGAACAGCAGTCTGTGAGAAAAAAAATATACACCGCCCATGGAGCAAGTTCCACGCAAATTCTGCACGTTTGTATTGATTTCCTACAGAGAGGTTTAAGTCCTGGAATTGGTTGAATCTTTACCTTCTAGAGAAATAGATCGTGACACCATTTGTTAAATGCCGAGGATCTACTGCCGTGTCTTTGCAGGTAGGAGGTTGGTCCCCATTTGTCCGATCACCGATGATGCAATCAGCGGTGGTAGTAACTCGGGTTAAGGATTGGCCCCCCGCCCCCCAATGGGGCTGGGGGCCAACATCCAGGACGGATGGTGGTGAGTGTCCGGGAGGAAGGAAAGAAGAAGAAGGGGAGAAGATTTTTTGGGGCGGGAAGAAGGGACGGTGTTCGGAGAGGCAAGGAAGTGGTGAAGAATTTCGGCACTCGACGAGCGCGCGGTCCCGTCGGGGGTGAAAGGGACATGTCAGTCCGTAGTCTTGTCTCTATCGGAATCGAAAAGCCGAAAAATCGAGGTATACATTATGTACATAACGATGGAGAAGGCCGACCAGGAAGGTACGAAGAGAGGAAATTGCACCCCACGTTCGAAGTTCGAAGTCGGTGTGAAAACCGCGGCAAGGAAGGAGTGCGAAGGAAAAAGAAAGAAAAAGGAGACGTCGACGTTTGCGTCGTGGAACGATCCTTCCGTATAACGCAGGTACTCACCAATGCAAGACGGGGAGGAGGTAAAATACCCATCGTGAAAGTCAAAGCGCAGGTCATAACCGCATTTGACTCATGCGCGGAGAAGTTACCACGGAGACTTACCAACAAGAATTTTGAAGGCCGGCTGATGAGGTTTGAAGACACAAATTCTTCAGCGACGATGGCAAGCGCAACGTCAAAGCTTCACAAGAAGAAAAGTGCATACAAAAAATAAAAGGCCGGATACCGACCTATGGCTCTCTCGGAATGAAGGGATTCCCACAATTTCCAACAGATAATCCATAAGTAAGTAAGCGGACATTATGAAGGTACTGGGTAGAGAGAGATCGGAACGGTTTTTATTGAGAAGACACAACAACAACAACAATGATGAACGTCGACCCGTCCTGCGTCGTTCGGTGTAGTAAAATGATAAATGCGAAAGATGGACTGCCTAAAGATCCAGCGGTCTTTTTCGGCAGTGGCAAAGGAATATGTAACCACATGTCGCAAAAAAAAAGAGAAGCTGAGCGGGTTACCGTAGGACATATGTAGAACACCGCCTTCTCTGTTGTTGCAGGTAGGTTTGCTTCCACAACCCGGGAACCCAACCCACTCTTGTATTTCGGCCTACAAGACTCCAATCGACGCAAGCACCGGTAGGAGAGTGCGTGGAAGATGCCGTGACAGCACAACTCCACTCTCCTACGACATCTATGTACAAGTACTGCTGTCGTTGTAGCACCATGTGGAAGATCTCCGAGGGGTCCTCCTGCTGCGCGGTAACGACAACATGGCGAGAGCTCTACGTGTACCTGTCGTCGACACATGTGGCAGCCGCACGACACACGAACGGATGTTTGCATCGCACTGTACTATAATTCGCCGTGGCAGGAAGTATCCCATCCAGCTAGGTCGTTGCGGTAGCACGCGGACGTCGTTCGGCGTCTAGTCCATACTGCTGTTGCAAAAACACAGAATCGAGCTATGCATGAAAGTTTTTGCTCTGGTTCACTTTTTTTGCCTGCACAACCCGAGAATCCGACTGCTGTATCTCGACTTAAAAGACTCCAATCAACAAACCAGCACTGGCAGTAGTGCGTGGAAGATGCTGTGACAGCACAACTGAGTCGACACTCGTACGACTTCCATGTACAGTCGGCGTCTGGTCCATCTGTGGAAACCCGAGTTCGATTCTCGGATTGGACACCATGTGACGGAAAGAGAGGCTCGGATTTGGGATGGATCTCGTGATATGAGCGGGTCTCTCTAGGCATAGGTTTGTGGCTATTCGTGGCCACAAGTCCATGGTTGTGTGTATAGGAAGGAAGTCACGCTCTCCAGAATGATTACTAAAAGCTACCGACCTGATGGTAGCAGCCTCTCGATCGGTACCGAGTTCAAAGATGCGCGCTTGAACAGCGGTAGAGGAAGCCTAGATGTAGGCTTGTGGAGCGTGGAGAAGGTCTCCAGTCGTGGATACGGTATGCGCTTTGATTGTTGCTGAGCACTGGATGCCAACAGGAAGGGTAAGTAAGCAAGTAAGTGGGCTTCGTGCTGCAGCACGAAGCCCGAGACAAGGGGTTCCGCAATTGTACAGAACTGTCAACACCAACCTATGGGAACAACGCTAATCCCGAAGGGTGCAACTCCCTGTACCGTAAACTATGTAACCGTAACATCTCAGCTAACTCTAACCCTAACATGTGGCTTGCACACTGGTGCATGTCCAGGCGTGCAACCCCATGCCTAACTATCAGCTATCTAACCCTAACATGTGCTGGTATTTTGATTTTTTTTTCCGGTGTCTGCGGTATATTTTTCAAGGCTCACATGCTTCCCTCATGCGATGCGTGGGTCATCACGCGTGGCATAAATTCCGTGCACGGTTGCTATCAGCTCACTCGTCTCCCGACCAGTTTTAATTTTCGGCGGTGTGGTTGGCGGGTGGAGGGAACATGTGCAGCGGCTGACCCGGGTGACTACACCCATGGCCGCCCCCCCGGAGGGGGGAGGTGCCGCTAGGTGGCTGCACCGACGTCTGATATTGGTGTAGCTGCCACTCCTGGCGGCTGCATTGATGTTGGGTATTAGGTGTAGCTGCCACTCCTGGCGGCTGCACCGGTGTCTGGTGTTGGTGTAGCTGCCGCTCCTAGCGGCTGCACCTGTACCACTGCTCGTCTTGTTGAGAGCGATGAAACGTGTGTAGCGACCACTCTGGTTGCTGCACGAAATACATGCGATACGTTTTCCCCGAATAGTGCTCATGCATGCTGTCACGTAGGGGTGAGGTGGAGTTTTGCTCTTGGCAACACACGCTGCGATGCCGGTAGAAACCGCTTTCGATGCCGAGATAGGACGTCGAAGAGAGCACCCTCGCACCTTTGGAAACGACCGCGGATGGATGCTTTGACTTCAGCAAGGGGGGATGTCGCGCGGCCGTCATAACACAGCTCCCCGGGGACCGCGGGATATTGCTTTCTGCAAGGGGGGAGACGCCGCGGTCACCGGAGCACGGCTGCCTGAAAGCAGGGCGGAATACCCAGGCAGGATTGGAGGCCATCGGAATGTCGTCGGCACGTCTCCCAGAACAACAGCAACGAGGCGACGCGCACAGGGGGCAGGTTTTCACAAGTGTCGTGACAGCAGTTGAAGGCTTGGGGGGACGTAAAGAGGCAAGACGTTGAGTAGGCTAATGCAAACAAAGGGAACGAGTTGTCAGCCACCGCAGAGTCCATGTTAGCCGACATAGTCGTGCTGCCCCACACACGTACGACCACGCAGGGATGGAAGTGACCTGGTCTTTGATATTCTACAGTTGTCACTGGCCCACCTTGGCGATATGCATTGGCAGTTTGTGGTGGCCATGTTGCACTACGGATGTCGAAGGAATAAGAGATCGTTACCCTTTCTCCTAACACAACCCCCTTCGAGTACGGGTAGTTTGCCCGTCCCTTGCACGTCCATAAAGGCTCTTTGTGGCGCCGCGCGTTGAGACATCGCCAGCGTCGTAGAGCACCTTGTGCCCGACGCGCGCTCGCGGCTCCCGGTTGCAGGGCCCGCTGAGGAGAACGTCGATGACTCTTTTCGGGACGATTTGTCGCCCGCGGTAGAGGACGCGTCAGTCGAGGCTCTGGGCCCAGAGTTGAACGGTGTGAGATTGGCCGATCTAGACCCTGCACAGGCAGACCAAAAGGAGAATGCGGTAGCTCACGTCCCTTCCCCACCCTTGGTCCATGGGGCCGTTAACGCTAACCCCTCCGCCCTTGGAGCGCTGCCCTTTGCGATGTGCACAGCGTTGGATGCCGAGTCCCAGGGACTACGCCGTAGCGGCAGGACTCGCACGCCATCCGTACGCCTGCGGCCCATCGGCGACGTGCAGCTGCCACCGGTGGGAGGGACGGGGCTTCTGCAGGACGAGCAGGAGGCTGGACCCACACCTGTCGAAGCCGTGCCATCCGCACCCCCGCTTCCTGCGCTACCGCCGTCGCCCGTCCATCGAAGCCACGACGACATCGGTGAAGTGCTCGCGGCACGGGGGGAGGTACCGAGGTCGTCGCCGGGACCAGATGTTCGTGGGACGTCAGCCATTGACCGGGCGGCGCAGGTTCTCACCAAGCCATCCATCCTCGCACAACGGCAACGGGACGACACCCTTTTGGGCCAGTGACCAGAACTGGGAGGAACCCTCCCGTCGAGAGCTTGAGCGGCGTTCAAGATAACGGCTGCATTACGGCATGCACAAATCCGAGGCGTCGCTGTGCGTGCATGATGTTGGATCAGGGCTGTGTCTGCAGGTGGCCTAACATCACCCGTACACGAATCGGCAACCCCCGGATGTATTGGCTGAGGCGTTCGTTTATTTATAATCATTGTGTAGGTAGCCTGGGACAACCGTGCATGTTGGAGGTGTTTGTTTATTTTATAGTCGTTCTAGGTAGCTTCAAGACACACGTACATTCCTTGGGTATCGTATATGGGTTGACAGATGGTCGCGGCCGTTTGCCGGTAGTTTTACCACGCCTGCACAAGAGTCGGTACGCTTCTAACTTTAGTTAAAACGGATGGGGTATCGCTGTATAAGTCCTTGGAGTATGTTTCGTGGAGCGTGTTTCGTGCAACAAGTGACGTGTCCGTTGGGGGTGAGATCGTTGTGTTCTGGATGTTTATTTCGTATAGGGAATAGCGTTTTCCCGTAGCTTGCGCACGTTGCTCTGCTCCGTCTGGGCGTCGATATTCGTGTGATCCAGTTTCGTCTAGGGTGGTATTCATACAGTTGGATTTTCCGAGTTGTTGCAAGAGTGCTAAGTACCGTGGGGTATAGAGTAACGTACCGTACCCATTTCGGGAACGCAGCATCGTTGTGCTGTGCGACTTGGTGTGCCGTGCGACCTAGTGTTGTAGGTGCTTGCATAGTACCCTTGTGGGAGTGTGACACCGTTTTGCGGTGTGATTTGGTGTTGTAGGTGCTTTGCGCAATGGGATTTTCCCTGGATGGCCAGGTCTTTCCCGCGCTGTAGATGAGGGTCGGGCCAGCCACTACAGTGAATTCACCAAGAGAGGGACGGTTTTTTGTAAGAGTATTTTACGTCCGAGTGTCACTTGGTATTTTCGGTCGCTAGCCTGAATTCTTTGACCCTCGGGATGGGGGCGAAGGGTTTCTCCCGGACACCGGGTTTTTCCTTCGCACAAGTCGATGTCGGGCTTGTTCAACGCGCAGTGAGAATGTCGAGACGAGCGGTTTTTATGTAGGCTTTTTCGCTGTCACCTCTCGATATTTTCGGTCGAACTTTCGGTCCAACTTATAGGCATCGCATGGTAGTTTTCAAGAGGAAGTGCGTCACTTTGCGGTGTCCGCAATTCCCGCTACCGTTTACCAGTGTGCAAGCCACATGTTAAGGTTAGAGTTAGCTGAGATGTTACGGTTACATAGTTTACGGTACAGGGAGTTGCACCCTTCGGGATTAGCGTTGTTCCCATAGGGTGGTGTTGACAGTTCTGTACAATTGCGGAACCCCTTGTCTCGGGCTTCGTGCGGCAGCACGAAGCCCACTTACTTACTTACTTACTTACCCTTCCTGTTGGCATCCAGTGCTCAGCAACAATCAAAGTGCATACCGTATCCACGACTGGAGACCTTTTCCACGCTCCACAAGCCTACATCTAGGCTTCCTCTACCGCTGTTCAAGCGCGCATCTTTGAACTCGGTACCGATCGAGAGGCTGCTACCATCAGGTCGGTAGCTTTTAGTAATCATTCTGGAGAGCGTGACTTCCTTCCTATACACACAACCATGGACTTGTGGCCACGAATAGCCACAAACCTATGCCTAGAGAGACCCGCTCAAGTCACGAGATCCATCCCAAATCCGAGCCTCTCTTTCCGTCACACCATACTGCTGTAGAAATACAAAAATCGAGCCATCTTTTTTTTTTTTCCATACTAATAACAAGAAATGTATCACGTCACGACGACCATCCTGTGAGTATATATATAACATGATAGCAGTCAGTCAGGAATACAGGAAGGCATCACAGCGTACATAGCGATATGTGTAGTACGTTCAAAAAAAGAGGAGTTCCACTCGACGTCCACCAGTGTTCGACATTCAACCACCTGGTCACGGCTGCACCAACGACACCCACAAAATCAATAATCAAGGCGATCCTGATGACCAAAACAACGGCAACAACAACGGAAATGACAACGGCAAACCCTTCCAGTGGCTATGGCAGCAACGGGTCCTGGCATACTGTCGACGAAATTGGTGATGGTGCATGCCTACTGCGATGTATCGCCCGTCGCGTCTTCCATGATCCTAGCAAGCACTCTTCGGTCCGAGGGCAACTCATCGACCACAAAACGAACAACCTTCATATCCCCATCCCAGGCTCAGGTCAAAATACCTTCTTCCAGAGCATTTCAGCGGGAATAAATTCAGAACACGTTCAAATAGCCGGTCATCCTCAGCAAACCAATAAAAGTGTCGCACACCCAACCACCTACGGAACGGGAGATTGTAGCTACCCTAACATCAAAATTACACTCGTTGGTCAACCGTACCCGCCTCCACCGTCCGATGATACGTGCGAGTTATTATACGGCCACCAGCACTACCGCACGCTACGATACTACCCCCAAATATATTTCCATTTCCTCTTGCGTCGCCCCCGGGAGGCCATTGCACCTACATCCCGAAGGAGAGCCTTGTCATATATATATTCCCGTACATGACCACTCATGTTACAATCGTCGGTGTTGAACCGTTGCTAGGTATCGTGAAAATATTGCCGTACGGAGTGCTGGAGGATTTTATGGTGACGCACTTGATGGTTGCATGAGAGGAATGTTTTCAACACGAAGTTTGCGTAACCCACGAAAAAAACGGTTGACAGGTTCCGTGCAAAAACATTTAGACAACATCGTAGATCTACTCTACCTCTGTCACCTTACGCCCCCTCCGCCCATTGGGGGTGGGGGGGCGAGCGATGCTTCACCATTCATGTAGAATACTACTACATAGGGCAACGAAAGCCCCCCCCGCCCGCAATGGGCAGGGGGGCTACAGTTGAAAACACGAGGAGATGAGGTGAACAGAGCGTGGTATATCTAGATGATGGCTCGGTAAATAGGTTTTGGTGGAAGGGCGATTCTACAGCGCCATATGGTTGGAAGAGCCTGATATGAAGGTAAATATAAATGGCAGTTGGCGCTCCGCGGCTCTTTGTGAAGGACCTGACCGTGCATCGTCTTCGTCGGTAGTGGGGTGTCGTCCATCGGTGGCGGAGTCCATGGTGTCACACATGGTGATGTTGAAACGTTTACTTGTGGTCGATGGCAGCGGGATGTGATCGTGTGTATATGTGTACCTGTCGCAGCCTTCGGCGATACTGTCCGGACCGTTGTGCGGAGACCGGAGAACGATCTTGACGTTCCGTTCGAAATGTCTAGTTACTCTCAAGTGGTGGCGGTTGTGGATCGATGGACGTATCATGGAGGGAACGAGCTTTACCCATCCTTGCTACAATGTCGCGCACACCACGTGTACGCGTGTACTTGTGTATTGCCGCGTCAGGCCTCCTGTACGAACCCACAGTAGTGGGCACACCATCGCGGGTGATGTACGCAGTGTACCCCGAATGCTGGGGAGTGTGCTGGTGAACCGCTACATACAGGGTGCTTTTCCCCGTGTTGGTGTTCTGCAAAACACACTCACACATGTTCTCCATGTACGCGCCGCCAAAGCAGAAGGAATGGGTGGAGTGATATCATGAAAACGCATTCGCGGCTGTGCGGTATCGTGCTGTGTAAGATTTGCTGTACAATGTACTGCTGGCTGCTATGTACTACATGAATATGTATGTCCCCTGACCACAACTGCTGCTGACAGACGTGCTCCAGTTTACATTCCTGGACTGCCGTTCTGTCCGACGCGTTGTGCAGTGATGATGCTCCCGGAATCATGGCATGGCAGCTTACATGGTAGGCGCTGTACTCATATCCGCCAAAGACTCAACCCACGTACACAAACAACACGAGAAACAAAAAATAATAATTTTCATATTTTACGACCTCGGTCTATTTTCAAGTAAAGTGACCGGCGGTCGACGACGACGTTCTGCGAGTAATAAGGGTGATTCATACGACGGAGGATACATCAAAGCCCCAACCCCATCCCCCCCCACCTTCGTTCTCGAAAGCGATGTTCCCATAAAATTAGAGTAACCCCAGTCCGAGGAGTTGCGCGAGCGATGCAGCGAGAACGAACGTGATATGGTGGATTGCGGTGATTGCGGGCACGATTTTCTCATCTATCATTTTTTTTTTTTTTGTCTTCACTTCAAATCAGCGCTCACAGCACCTAGTAGTGCCGTTTACTCCAACCCGTGGTCACACAGAAGGGCCCTTCTCTACCCTCCCCTCCTGCGGTACGTTGCCTTCGATATTTAATGCGAGGATAGTTCAGCTCTCTCTTCCCTCTGTGTACACACGAACTAGCGCTATCCACTAGGTAGGCCAGGAGCGGAAGCGAGAGAAAAACCCACTTTGCAAGAAAAGCTCGCTTACGCCGGGATTCGAACCCCTGACCTGACCTCTAGAAGGTTTCGAGGACACAAACTAGACCACCGGGCGACCGGCTGTGTCATACCATATGGAACCACTATTCAATAAATCTCACAACAAATGACGTCATCTGACCAGGTGAAATTTTCTTCAAACCTCAGACCAGATCGTCTACAACAACCTCGTTACAGTAGTCTCGAAATCATGCCATGTATCCTGTTTTCACTTGAATACTCACTCGAAGAGTAAGCAGAAATTTCTCTCGGGCTCTCACGGCACTGCATTCGGCCTCTCTCTCTGGACGGCTCACAGGCCTGCATTTCTCCAATCTTCATTTTTCCGTTTTCCCGATTTCCCACTGTTTCCTGTTCATTCGCCGTTCCTTTCCGCTTTTTTCATCTCTGTCACGTTTCCGCCCTTCATTTCGCACGCCTCTCACACGGGCCTTCATTTTCCTCTTTCGGTTGTCATATACACATACATTCTTCACACATCCAGTCTGCTTTTGCCCGTCGCTCTCCACTGGTGTATATCGTTCAAGATCCACAACAGTCACCTTTCCTTTTCGTTGCTTGTCAGCTCCGAAACTTGACTACCTCTCAGTCTCGTTCTGCACGGACGGGTTAAATCGGGAATGTCCGTCCCTTTCATCTCCTGCTGCTCTCATCCATCCACACATCACGTTTTACACCAGTCTCTCTGTCTCCCCTCACACACCATCATCAGTCTGTCTCTCCCCTCTCGCATGGCCCAGCACCATCTGTCCTGGGTCCTTGGGCGCCTCATGTTCCTTTCACTCAACTCCTTCCCTCTTCGGAATGCTTCTGTTTCGAATTTCCCGGGCGAGGGGCTGGGTTTCTTCTCAGTTCCGACAGTCGACGTACTGTCAGTCAGCTGCTCCACTATTTGAGACGTGGATGGACCCGTTGTTCACGGATTATCTACGCTATGGGTTGAAACG